AACAGGAGAGTTGTTTAAAGACAGCGCGTTCAAGTGTTTTAGACAGGAACGGGAGGAGAGAGACAGGCCTGTAGTTTATAACATCAGACGGGTTGAGAGTGGGTTTCTTTAGGAGAGGGTTTACTCTTGCCTCCTTGAGACTGTTTGGAAAGTGACCAGAAGTTAGAGAAGTGTTGATGAAATGAGAAACGGTAGAATATCAGGAGCGATAGTCTGAAGGAGGTCTGAGGGGATAGGGTCCAGAGGACAGGTGGTAGGACGGGCAGAGGTAATGAGGGTAAGAACCTCACTTGGAGAGAGAGGGGAGAAGGAGGTTATCATCTTCATCACCACCACCACCACCATCATCATCATCATCACCACCATCATCATCACCATCAAGCTAACACTTCTCCCTGATCTCCTCATCCCTACAGGAGGAGGGGGGAATTGTTGTTTTTGTTGTTGTTGACTTAAATTGATATTAGATGATACTCACTTTATTCTGAAGATGGCCGTCAGCCAGGAGCAGAAACCCTGCAGACACAGAGAGGAGAGTCAAGAGGAGAGGAGGTGATGGGGGGATGAGAGAAGGGGGATAAAGGAGGAGTTCAAGGAGTAATGGAGGAGTAAAGGAGTCTCACGTTGTCCCTCTGGTCGAAGTCCACGGAGCTGGAGACGGAGGTGAGTCGCTCGTATCGGTCCGGAGTCTCCGAGTGCATCGCCGAGGCAACGCTGTGAAACAGGAAGTGAGCCGTTAGCTGTTAGCATGTAGCCGCCCTGCTGAAGACAGAGGGAGCTAACAGGAAGTAGAAACACACACCTTTATTGACACAGCTGCAATAAAACAACACAGTGAGGATAGGATGGTCGTCAGGGTGCAACACGTTAAAAATAAACAGTTTCATTTTGTAGATATTCTGTGCTGCCTTGAAGCTAGCTCATTCTGTGCTTCCTTCAAGCTAGCTCGTTCTGTGCTGCCTTGAAGCTAGCTCGTTCTGTGCTGCCTTGAAGCTAGCTCGTTCTGTGTTGCCTTGAAGCTAGCTCGTTACTCTAAATACAAGTCCTCCTCTCTTACTACTAAAGCACATTCAGTAGAACAAGTGCTTTACGTCATTACAATTCACTAAGAATAATTCTGTATTTTTGCTCAAATACAATAAATAAACTATTTGCAATACTTTAAATTGACCTGGGAATACTTCTCTATTAATTTAATGTAAACATTGATGTTAGGACTTTAAATGCAGTATTTTTAAAAAGGTAGTATTTTTGATGCAGTATTTTATTCAATGCCGTATTTCTGTTACTTCTCCCATCTCTGGATGTTTGGCATTAGCTAAGCAGCTAACTATCTAGCTAGCACGGGTTCACGGGGTCACGACACAGAGATAAACACGCTCGACCCGTTACCTTTGCACCGGCTCATAGTTATCTCTGTCTCGCCGCCGGCTGACGTTATGTATCAAATGAAGCAAAGTGTGGGAGCAGGGTTAGCATCGCATGTTAGCATCACAGCTGTTAGCATCACACGTTAGCACCACATCTGTTAGTGTAACATTTGCACACACACACACACACACACACACACACACACACACACACACACACACACACACACACACACACACACACACCAGTGTTGATGGTGTATGAGCAGTGATTAGTGCCACATGTGAGTGTAGATTTTTAACCTCCGCTTTAATATTTATTATTTCCCATTTTTTTTTAAATCTATTAGTTCAATCAAACTAAATTAATTGAAAACAAAAAATGTAATTAGCGTTCTGTAGAAAGAGTACTTTTACCTACTTAAAGTACTTTACACTGAGTACACACTCCAGGTAGCAAAGTGTGTACCTCAGTAGGGGGCAGCACTCTCTCCTGATCACTTGATGTATAACTCAGATATCAGACCCTCATCTCTACATGTGGCACTGATCACCTTCATACAACCAGAGAGGTGGCACCAGTAACCCCTGTACCAACGAAGAAGAAGGAGAAAGGAGGAAGAGGAGGTGTTAGTGCACCAATCAGAGAACAGCTCCTGTTAATGAACCGGAGGAAGTTGTTAGGACAAACCAAACATGGCGGAGCAGCAACGTACTATTCCCGCTCGTCCTCGCTGAAGCGCTGCTTCAGTCTTCAGGGGAAGAACACAGTCACTCACAACAAATACACTTTATTAACACGCTGCAGCAGGAACAAAACAAACTTTATTAACATCCGGTGAAACACAACAAACATGACTTTTTCTTGTAAATTAACCTTTTTTTGGAGAATTTCAAAGATTTGTTATTGCATAAATCTCACGTTCTTTGTATATTCATCACATAACCTTAAAGGTCTCCTATCATGCTATTTGAAGGTATAATGGGTCTCAGATATATACAGATATATAAAAAACATGTCTAGGATGTGCTTTGCTCCTAACAACAAACAGATCAGAGAATGTCATTTCTCAGTGTTTCTTTAAACTGAATGTTTAAAGGTATGTAGGTAAGAATGGAGAAACCAGCTGGAGTGCACTAGAATCTGAAAATACACAACCGGAAAAGATCTGCCCCTTCCTTCAGACTTCCTCACAGAGCCCCTCCTCCAACACACGAACGTGCACATGACCAATGAGGGCAGCAGATAAGTTTGTGCACAGATGGAAGGCTGACAGGCAGGTAGGCCATCCAGTTACTTTAGCCGGCTCAGATGATTGGTCGTGCTTTTTACAGCGCTACAGCTTCCACAGATGACATTTTTTATGTATTTTTTGTCAAAGCTCTTCAGATATTCATTGCTATCGGGATGTTAAGAGCATTCCATGGAAGAAGTGGAATGAAGTGAATGACCTCCCCCACCTTCAAAGAGTTTGGGACCTAAGATGTTCATTACCATAACTACACTGTAGCTGCTGTGCATATGATGATGCAGCAGAAAAAGAATCAAGTGTATTACCAGGTAAAATGTGAAGAAGCAGTCAGAGAGTTGAGCATGAACATGGCTCACAGTGTTAAGAGCAAGAGGTTGGTCACGTGATGTTCATTAAGTACTGCATGATGTGACCAAGCTCTTGCTCTTAACACTGTTACCTCATTCACACCAACGGTGTTTCAGGGCCGGTTCGGAGCTGGAGCTTGAAAAGCACCGGGTTTTCCTCTTCACACCGCAGCGGAGCAGCCTCTTAGCTCCGGAATCCGGTTCGTTTCAAGCACCAAAAAATTGTCCGGCCAGAGCAAAAGCACCGCATACGTCACGCTTACGTCGAGGCGGGGCGGGGGCAGGGGCGGGATCAACTCCTGAACAACAACAAAAAGCCTGCGTTTTATCCAGTTTGTACAACGATGGAGAAACTTAACAAGCAGCAGTGGTCCACTGAAGAGACCAGCTACCTGCTGGGAATCTGCTCTTCTGAAGAGGTACAGAGGAAGCTGGAGCACAATCGACCATTGTTGTTGTTGTCGGTGTCAGCTGTGAGGGGTTTCCGCGCGGTTTGGCTTTATGAAGCAGGCACGCAAACGGTTACGTCATGACGCAAACGATGACGCAATTACGCAGCACCA